CTCTCTCTCTCTCTCTCTCTCTCTCTCTCTCTCTCTCTCTTTCTCTCTCTCCTCCCAGTACTTGGGATTGAACCCATAGTCGTCACATTGAGCTACATGCCTAACTGTTTATTTTTTATTTTGAGACAAGCTCGTTTTAAGCTTGAGTTCAAACTTGGTTTGCATTTTATAATGTTGAGCTCAGACTCTCGGTCTTCCTGCTTCAGCCTCTCAGAGTCCTGGGATTTTAGATGTGTACCACCATGCCTGGCTGAACAGTTCCCTTCTGTATAAGTCAGAATACATGATGATATACAGAGAAAGAATTCTGATCTATCTCAGAATCCCAGAGGAAAATGTCTAAGGCTACTTCTTCATAGGAAGGACAGCACACAGGAGCCACATGGTTTCTTAGGGAAAGAGAGCCCCTTCAGGACATGAGCACAGGCTGACTCATTAGGCAAACTGTGCAAACATTTGTGTGTTCACGTTGGTGCGGAATTCTCCAAGAACTGCCAGTGGTGTCCCCAAACCATACTGTTCGCCACTGCTGGACTGCTGTTAGTTTTTGCAGGTTGGTTTCATGTGGGATTGCTGCTTGGTCCCCTAGATAACTATTGTGATCTATAATATATTAATTATTCTCACAATAAGTCTTTGAGTTTTGCCTACAAATAAGCTCTCTTAGCAGATGAATGTGTCCACAGTGGCTAAAGGAAGAGTGCTGTCTTCCCAAACTTCAGCCTGTCTGAGAACTTGGTGGGGCAGAATCACAATCCCCAGGGCCACGAGGCTGCTCTCCAGCCTTCTCCACAGATCTCTCTGTGCACCTGAGTCAAAGCCTTTGTCACACAGAACCTGTGTGCATCAGGAACACCCTGCACTCTAGGAACAGGACACAACCTCACCTTCCGCTCAGCTCTGCTACTGACAAGAGCTGTGATCCAAAGCAGAGGGACAAAGGATGTGTGGCTCACCCTGCTCCGGGACCTGCACTCCTGTCTGTCTCACTTCAGTCTTCAGAAGGCTGGAAGGAGGCATAGACAAAATAGGTTTTGAATTTTAAAGAACAGATTAGAATCAGAGAGTCTTGTGTGAGTTTAAATTTAGGAAGCAACCATAATGGCCACTGAGGACCAATTATTTTCCCCAGCCGCTATCAGTCCCTGGAGAAATGCACTGATGTTTCTGTGCAGTTCCTGCAGCTTGCTGGGCCATACTTCCCCATGAGGCAGGAAAGGCATTTATCTCTTTGCTTCCCTTGCCAAGTATAGCAGGAGCATAAAATAGCTGCTTAGTAAATGCTAATTAATTATAAATTATGTCTTTTTTGTATAGTATGGGAGATTGAATCAAGGATCTTGACACTAAGCTACATCCCCAGTCCTTTTAGAATTCTTTTAGACAATATCTCATTTATTGCTAAGTTTCTCCTGCTGGAGAATACTTGGGATACTCCTGCCTCAGCCTCCCAGAGTGCTGGTATTACAGGTGTGCAGCACCATGCCTGGCTAATTAATTTCTCTTTGAATGAATGAGTGAATAAATGAACAAATGAATGGGTGGATGAATGAATGGATGGATGGATGATGGATGGATGGATGAAGAACTGGAGAGCCTGGCTTCCTGTGCATGCAGTAGCTGGGCACACTCTTTCTCTTAAGGCAGCCAGTTGCAATCAGCAATTTCTTATGTAAATTAGATAAACACTTGTGTGGATGTGAGTTCTATCTTATCCCAGCTCTGTCTTCCAAAAGCACAGAGAATAGACCGCCCTCTTCTGTGGAGGTATATAGACAGTGCCCAACCTGAGACATCTTTTCTTTATATTGCTCAACCATAGAGTCCTTCAGCTGCTTCTCAGAAGATGTGGCTCTGAGTCTTCAGCTTGGGTTTTATTCCAGATGAGTCAGGTGAGCCATGCCTTCACGACGGAACGGGTCCTGTGGAACTCCCCTTAACCTGCTAGAGGATTACTTTAGGGACCAAAAGTCCCAGGGTAACCATCAGAAGGCACAGAGCCTTTCTGGTCTCCAGTCCTATGGAAGACCCTGTGACAATTGAGTCCCATTGATGTGAGTGTCAGCATAACAGCCAGATGAAGGACAAGGTCACAACACCTTGTATGGCTATAGTCTCATGACAAGACTGTAGTCCTTTTATGGTTTGGAGTTGAAATGTCCCCCCAAAACTCATGTGCTAAAGGCTTGATTGGCAGGCAATGGGTTTTGAGGGGAGTAATTAGATCATAGGGGCTCTAACTTCATTCAGTGGATTAATGTATTATGACATATAATTTGATGACTTTATTGAAAAATATGGAAACAGGAAGTTGGGCCTAGCTGAAGGAAGTTAACCACGGGAGCATCACCTTGGGGATTATATCTGACTCTTTCCTTCTTACCTTGCTTCCTGGTACTGTGATATGAGCACCTTTTTCCCACCAGGCCCTTCCATCATGGTGTTTCTGCTTTGGAGCCAGCTGACCATGAACTGCACCCTGTGAAATAATGAGTCAAATAAGTCTTTCCTCCTTCATGCTGACTTTCTTGGATATGCTTTCATAGTGACAGAAGTCTTGCTAACACAAGTCTTCAGGGCTTTGTACACATAACACCATTCCTTGTTTCTGGCAGGATCAGGAACCAAGCGTTTCTACTCTGCAGAGGTTTCTAGTGAACTGAAGTTTATGCCACTAAACCTGCAATTTAAAACATGTTAACTAATTTGACTAGAAATTTTCTGAAATGAATTTAATATCCCTCCTTTTTCTATATTGAACACAAAGTTCTCTTTTTCTTGGAACTGTCACATTTACTATCCATTAATACTGAAATATAATGTGGTAATGCCACAAGTAGCTGTTAGCATCTCCTCCTTCCTTAGGGATGGGATTCTGGAATGAACAAGGAGAGGAGACCCTAAAATCCTTCTTTGCATACATCGACACCTACACCCCTATGACACCTACACACCTACACCTACCCAGAGATACTATTAAACTGTGTTGCCTCTTTACCCTGCACAGTAACAACCCTTGTTGTGTTTTGGATATTTGATTGCTTTTATCTTTCCCCTTTCCCTTGCTTAGAATCATCAAGATCTAAAATGTCAGCAAGACAACTTTATTTTTGCATTCTTTCACATTTTTTTCTTTGCCTGTGCATATAATTATCAAATTCAAAGATGCCACCCTTGGTAAAGCTTTTAGATATCATTTAAATGCACAACCCCTCTATGAATGGAGGAATCTCCCAGTCGTGGGTTGGGAGATGACTTGCAAAGTCACCTTGCAGTGGAGCTAGATCCAGGAACTAAGTCCACTCCCCTGAGTCCTTTCTGACCTTTTTCTCAGCCCCTGGATCCTGCATTGCTCCTCATGTTGAGCCCCAGTGCTTCTTTCCTTCAGAAGCTTCCTCATCTCCTACTCTGATTAGGCACTGATGTATATTTAGGATGCAGCACCATCCACAGGGACACATCACCATGCTTTTCCCTGTGTCTGCTTCTCACACCACAACATGAAATGCTGAAGGACAGAGATGTGGACTGATTTGTCTCTCCCCAAATCTGTATATTGCAGCCCTATATAATCTACATCAGAAAATCCCAACCTCTTCTGCATCAAGGATGGGTTTCACGGAAGACAACTTTTCTACAGATGGTGAAGGTGGGTAGTTTTGGGTTGATTCAAAAGAGCATCGCTATATTCCCCACATGTGCAGTTCATGGTAGGGTTCGAGCTCCTATGAGAATCTGATGCCCAGGTGATCTGGCAGAAGAAGGAGCTCAGAGGGTAATAGAGTGATGGGGAGCAGCTGGAAACAGAGGAAGCTGCTTTCACTCACCCACGCTCAGCTCCTCACAGGACACAGATCAGGGCTGGTCTCTGCCAGGGGCCGAGGATCCTGCTTTCCATAACTGTATTTGGAGACAGAACCCAGAAAGAGGAAGTCAAGGTTAAATGAGGTCATAGAGTGAGTCTTAATACAGCAGGACTATTGTCCCTGCAGGAAGAGGCAGCAGGCACCATCATTTGCTGTCCCTGCCACCCACCCTCAATGTGCTTGCTCCAAGAAAAGGCCATGTCGGTGTAGAGCAAAGCCACGCAGCTGCAACTCAAGGAAAGAGCCCAGCCAGCTGGCACCTTGATCTCAGAAGTTCTCTAGTCTCCAATCCATGAGAAAATAAGTTTCTCTTCAGGTGTTTTGGATGGTGACATTTTGTTCTGGCAGCCCAAGAAAATTAATACAGGTTGGAGTCAGGTCCTCTTATCCAAGTCAGCACAGCAGCTGGGATGTAGGAAGTCTTCAGTGACTTGAGGGGAAATGGAGGAGGAGAGTGAGCAGAGAAAGAAACTCAGACAGTTGCCATTTCTCCTTGGATAAAGCCTGTGGAGTAAAACAATGAGACACAGTTACTCAAAACGACTTGAAAACATCGCCTTCAACTCATGAGAGGGTTTGGGTTTCTATATGCCTTTTACAGCTGCTAAAATTATGCTTTGAGGTGACACTTCTCAAGTGTCTCTTGCTTGAAAACTGCTGGCACAGAACTGAGTTGGTATTTTTAATATGAGTAGTAAGGTTGGATCCCCGGTAGAAGTAGGAGTGGCCCATTTCTGCAAGCTACAAGAAGCTTCTGGGGAAAAACTGCTCAGATGTTGGCTTCCCTGTCCCTTCTCTGAAGTTCACTTGGAAAAGATCAGCACACATTTTTTATGACAGCTCACAAGAGTACCTGGCTGCCTGTGTGTCAATTTTAATTCCTGCTGCACAGCTATGGGAGCTGGAGCTTTCTAAAATGAATTGACTGGGTGCTGCTCTTTGGCAGTCAACTGAGCTCAGTGTAGGGACCATTTGTACATCCCAACCTCTCCCCGCTACCTTCTTTCTCTTGGCACTGGGAGCTGAGAACTGGAGCTAGAGACTCAGAATTGACTGGGAGGTCACAGAGCTCCTGCCAGAAGATGCTTCAAAGTTACTGATTTCACCACCAACCTGCTCTGATCCTGGGTATAAAACTCATGTTATTTATATTGTGTCTCTCATCAGTGGTTGTTGACAATCTCTAATGATGGAGAACTGGTTACCTTCAAAGGAAGCGCCATCCCTTATTTATTCCTGTGGAGTTTGAAAAGGATGACCTGGGACAGGCAGAGAGATGGGTAAGAAGTGGGAATTTAAATGAGAACCAGAAGGGCTAGGTTCTAGCTTCCTCTCCTTCACCAGGTGGCACCAGAACTCTCTCAGTATAGATCAGAGAATATTAAGTTCAAGTCCTGCGTGGGCCACTTAGAGAAACTATATCTCAATATAAAAAATCAGAAGGGCTTGGGTTGTAGCTCAGCAAAAGGTTGGAGTTGGAACCATGCTGTCCACCTTCAGACTCTGTCTATCTCTCCTCTGTGTCTGATGAACCCAAGACACAAGGTTCCACTGAATACCCTAGGGTGTCAGAGGGATCCCCATGCATTAACTACTTATAGTCCCCTCATCGTTGAGATATTAATGAGTCTACAGTCACCTAGAACAGCAGACAGACTGACATCAGATTGAAATCACTACATCACACAGAAATAAAGACATCTTTTACATATATATAGGACTTTAAAGTTCATGAAAGGATTTCACTTGTCATTTTTCCTTCATTTGATTGGCACAGTGACCCTTGCCAGCAGTCTACACCGAAGGAAAATAGGAGCCCAGAAAAGAGAGGAACTTCCCAAGTGTCCACTTTCAGAGGAGATAAGAGCCATGCAGCTAGTTGTTGGAGGGCACTGACATGGGGTCCATGATGAGCCAGGTCCTGTGCACAATGGAAAGACACGGGACCTCACATCAACATGAAATATGGGCTGAGAGGCCCACATAATGCAGGATTAGAATTACTCATCAGCTCATGTTTCATGGAAATCCTAGATTCCCAGCAATTCCAAGAACTGTCATCAGGAGTACCTGAGCTTACTCTAGGTGACAATGCCGGGAGAAATGAAAATGTTTCTCTGGCTGTTGCTATGCATGGATTTCCTCCCTCCCTCCCTCTCTTCCTTCCTCCTCCTCCTCTTCCAGGGTCTCACTGGCATCTTCAAGGCCAATTTTCCAATGTTCTAAAGACTTCTCATACCATTGCAACCCTGGATTGCTCACCAGCTCCCAGGACTGCCCTCCGGGGGCTTCCAATGCCACTCCCCTGGAAACCAAGCTTTAACACATGGGCCTTTGAGACAATTTAAATTTCAAACTATAAAAGATATTTTCTTTTTTTTGTTGTTTTGTTTTTCTCCGGTACCGGGAACCGAACTCACGACCTTGTGCTTGCCAGGCAGGCGCTTTGCCGGCGAGCTAAATCCCCAGCCCCCTATAAAAGATATTTTCATCTTTAAAAAGAAAACTCCTTATTCATTCATCTACTGACGGACACAGAGGCTGCTCCCAAGATGTGGATCATGCTGCTGTAAACCTCGGTGTGCAGGCATCACTGTAATGTGACACCTTTAACTCTTTTGGGAAGACACTTGGAAGAGGAATAGCTGGGTCAAATGGAATTTCTAGTTTAAATTTTTTGAGCAATCTCCATACTGATCACTGTAGTGATTGTATGAGTTTACAACCCCACCAACAGTATAGAAGGGTTCCTTTTTCTCCCTCGAAGTCTGGACAGCTGAGATCATACTGTTAAGTGAAATAAATCAGACACATGAGCTTAAATATGGAAGGTTTCTTTTATGCGAGAAAGCCAAAGTACAAATAAATTAAAAAGCAAACTAAAAGAGATAGGAAACAGAGAGGCAGATCTTTTCCAAAAGGGAAAGAGACCAAGAGATGAGAGGAGGGAATAAGAAGGGGAGGGGGGAAAGAGGTAAAAAGAATTAAGATGTGTTTAGTACAGGCACCAACTCACTGTGATGCACTTTTGAAAATTTCTTGGGTTCTGTGTCTTAACTTATACTTGGTTTGTCGAGTGTCTCTGTCAGGTAGATGAGAGCTGCCCTTCCTAGGAGCACGGAGCTGGTCCAGGCAGTAGTTCTTGGGCCCTTGATATTCTGAACACTGTGATGCAGACTTATTGGCCTTGGGTACCCAGAGGGTCTTGGGTTGTCTCAGTCAGCAATGGAGAACTCTTTGGACTCAGCCAAGTCCATTTCTGTGGGGAGCCTTCCCAAATGCAGAACAGTTGCATAAGCCACTGCTAGTTAGCTTAATTGGCACATTTAGGTTAGTCAAGTAAATGAGGTTCTTTTTATATTTTGCCAATCTTTTACACAGGAACAAGGTTGTTCCCATGTTAAGAATTTCAAATAAATGTTTCTTAGTATGATTAGAATCTAAGCAGACTGCTCAGCAATTACCTGTGAACACGTCCACTCTTGTGCTGATGGTGGATAAAGGAAGTTCAGAAGCATCGCCATGTCCTCCTCCGGTTTCCTCCTCAAAACAAGAGGGGCCCCGCAGTATCCTGGAGCACTTTGGAAGGACGGCTGGGCTCTGATGCTGCACCACACAGGACCGGCCAAGGCTCTGTGCCTTCTTCTACCATCAATCACCATCCACCACCAGATACGTGGTTGCCACCACTCCTCCTCCTTCTGGCCACTTTGTCAGTCCTTTTACCTCTCTGTCTCTGGCCCAGAGACCAGAAGTAGAGTCCTAACCCATTCTCCTACTCACCTTCCTAGTGCCTGCTGGGACCTCTGGAAATACAAATTTGAAAATGTCACTTAAGGTCTGTGTGTGTGTGTGTGTGTGTTTATTTTATTTGCAGTCCTGGGGATTGAATCCAAGGCCTTCACAGTGAGGGACATCTTAGTTACCAAGGTCCTTCTGGAACTTATGATCCTCTTGCCTCAGACTCCCAGATTGCTGGGATGAGAGGCATGTACTACTCACTTGAGTATGAGACTTCCTCACTGCCATGAGTAGGCACAGAAGAGTCCAGACTCCTTTTCATGGCCCAGCTTCTCCCACTGGTCAAATCACTTCTCTCCACAGCCTTCCTTAGCTCTAGAAGAAACAGCCTTGTTGGGTTGTGGAGCCATGAATTGAGGGTCTCAGATGGGCAGGTCCCAGCTGCCTGTCCCCAAAAACCTACATAGTGGGAAATCTGAGTTTACCTGCAGAAAAACACCAAACTCTCAAAGTGGGGAAAAGGTGAGGCTCTGGGGAAAAAAGGGGAGGAAGTAACCACATTGAAGTACCCTAAGTCATTTCCTATGCCAAAGACCTTTACTCCAGAGAAAGTTTACCCAGCCCCAACACCTAGGGAAAGAGCATTTCTTCCACTCCAGTCCCTGCAGATTCTAGTGTCACCTGAGGAATGAGCTGAGAGCCTTTAGTCCGCTGGGAATCTCCTGTCAGTTCCAAGAGGCCTGGGTGGGACTCGGGTGTGTGTGTGTGGCCATGCTGTCCTGTAGGACCAGCCCAGGCTGAGTGCTTCCTTCCTGCAGAGCACTTCTGAAGGGTAAGCAGACAAGGTCTCCATGAGGAGAGGCCCTGGATCCAAATCCCACCCACAGGTGTCCCTCAGCCCAGATGACTGCAGGGAGGTCCACATGGCCTTCCGCTCCCACACAGGGCCTTCTCTCTGTACTGGGTATGATGGTCAGTGTTGTGTGCCACTTTGACTATGCCATGGGTGCAGATTAAATATTATTTCTGAGTATGTCTGAGGGGATTCTGGGTGAGATTAACATTCCAGCAGGTAGACTGGAGGGAGTGGGTTGCTCTGTCCAATGTGGGTGATTTCTCACTGTGGGATGCCTTCTACCATGCTATAATGGAGCCAGAAGGCCCTCACTAGATGTAGCTCTTCAGCCTGGGACTTCCTGGCCTCCAGGGCCACAAGTTAAGTACATTTCTGTTATTCTGAGTCATGCCATCTGTAGTATCACTTTAGTAGCACAAAAGGGACTAAGTGTTCAGTACAGCAAACAAGGCAGAGGAAGAGGAATCCATCTCTCTTTGCTTCCTGCCTTCCTGCTCGAGCTGGTACATAAGTCTCCTCTTCAACTTAAACTAGAATTGCACCATTAGTCTTTCCAAGTCTTCAGGTTGCAGAGAGCAGATTAAATGATTTCTTAGTCTTTATAATGTCATGAACCAACTCTCCATAAGAAATCTATCTATCTATCTATCTATCTATCTATCTATCTATCTATCATCTATCATCTATCTATCTATCCACTTTTATTCATCCATCCATCCACTATTAGCTCTATTTCTCTATAGAAACCTGACTGAAACATTATGATCATCACCCAAGAGGCTGAGACCCAGATATATGCAAACTTCACTGTATGTACATATGTATAGTTTTTTGAGGTCATAGTATCCATTGATTACATCCTATAAAACCCCTAAGAGTATATTAACTAAAAAAGACACAATACTACCAAACAGAAGACATTTCTTTAGAGTGTTCCCTGAGAGGAATGTCCTTAAGGAAAGCTGCTGAAAGTAAAATAAACTCATCTATTATGTCACAGAGCAACACTTCTCATGAGATGGAATGTTGCCAGAAACCATAACAGAAAAGAGCAGCATATCTGGCTATATATAAAATCTGAGCAGTCTTCCTGGCACAAGTTATGATTTACCTCTTATTATCTTCCACATTAAAACCACCACAAACTGGTTGAAATATACGTATAAAATAGAAAAAATAAACTGATGAATGAATAAAGAAAATGTGGTCTTGTACATACACTCAGGCATGAAGAAGGATAAATTTGAGTCATTTGTAGGAAAATAGATGTGTTTTGAGACTATAATGCTAAGTTAAGGGGGCTGGGGATTTAGCTCAGCAGCAAAGCGCCTGCCTGGCAAGCGCAACGTCGTGAGTTTGGTTCCCGGTACCAGAGAAAAACCAAAAAAAAAAAAAAATGCTAAGTTAAATAAATCAGACATAGAACGTTAAATATTATATGGTTTCTGTTATGGTTTATGTTCCCGTAAAGCCTTTATACTCCCCAGTGGATTTCTCCACTGGTAAGTTTTTAGTTAAATGTGACATTGAGAGGTGAAGCCAAATTGGAGGAAGCAGATCACTGAGAGTGTGGCCTGGAAACATCTGTCTCCCTCCTCCTCCCTTGATCTCTCTCTGCTTCCTGTCCACCATGCCAGGAGCAGCTCTCCTCCACCAGCTCATCTGCCACGCCACCATGCCTTGGAACCAGCTAACCATGGACTGAACCCTCTATAAACTATGAGCCAAAATAAACTTCTCTTCCTTTAACTTGTAATTTGTGTATTTTATCCCAGCAATGAAGAAAATAACTAAGACAGGTTCTTTTATATGAGAAATCCAAAGTATAAATAATTTAAGAAAGAGATGATAATAAACTGGGAGACAGACTTTGTGAAGATGGGAAAGGGACCAGAGGATAGGGAGAGACAAGTGGGAGAGGAGGAGAAGGAGAAGTAAAAAGATCAAGATGTGAATATATACATATGTTTTTCAGGTATCACAAGCATATTCTAATAAAAAATTTAAATAAACACAAACAAAATGTGCAGTGCAAGTGGCAGAGAAAATATTATAAATAACATAAAAAGATCTTGAAAACTTCTAAGGAAAAATAAAGTTTCTTAATAAAAGGGGATAAAACTTACACATAGTCTAGACAATAACACATGCAAATGAGTAGTAAATATGAGACATCATTCAACCTTATGAATAATTGAAGTATGAAAAACGGATATATATCACTTTTCATCTAAAGCATTGACAATTTAAAAGACAAATAAAACTGACAGTGTTGAAGGTCTAAGCTGATTTGCAGGTCTGGCTACATAATGGAAGGACACAAACAATTTATAAAATGATGCCAACATCTCCTTCTAATCATGAGACCTTCACTACTAAAAAAACAAAACAAAACAAGAAAAAAACACTCCAAAGCACATCATGGTGAAACTGCTAAAAATCAGTGTTATGGTTTAGGTCTAAAATGTCCCCAAATGCTTCCTCTGTGTGGAAGGTGACTGGATCGCAGGGCACTGTGTCATCAGTGGATCCATTATGGATGAGCTCAGGGCTGAATGTGCTGTAGGAGCAGGGCCTGGTTGGAGGCGGTCCCTGGTGTGTGTGACCTGGAAGGGTGCGTTCTTGTCCCTGGATGCTCATTTCTCACTTTCTTTAAGAGCTGCTATGGGTTGAACAATTCTCCTCCATCATGCCCTTCCATGTTGCATTGTTAGGTTGTTACCTAAGAGAAATTATATGTGCACAAAATATATGTGCATAAAATATTTGTATTTGACTCTGCACAGTAGCTTTATTCATAACAACCCCAAAGTGAAAGTATTCCAAATATCCATCAACTGGGGAATGAAGAAGAAAATTGTGGCATACCCATACAATGCAACATTATAGTTAGTTGAACTACTGATATTTGAAATAATAGAGAAGAATTCAAAAGTGTCAGGTACAAAAAATAGAATGGTGTATGATTCCATTTACATAAAATTCTAGAAAATTTAAAGTCAGGTAATAGAAAGACCGATGGCTCCCAGTGACTGGATAAAAGGATTGGCCACAAACAAAGGAACATTCCACGGGTGATAAGAATGTTCTACATTTTGAACATGATGGTTGTGTTGAATGTATCCTTAAAGCTGACTCATTTTCTTGTATGTAAACCATATCTCAATAACCTACCTAAAAATGTTGATGCCAGTACCCCACTCTAAATATTCAAATATAATTACTTTGAGAATGAGACTGAAGCTTCATTTTCCTTTGTTTTAGTTTTTATTTTGTTGTAGAGCACTTCCTGTTATTCTAATTGAAAAACTGAGGTGGTCAATATCTGCTCAAGAGAAATCAGCTCTAGGGAAATCTCGTACATGACTGGTAGGAAAGTAAATTAGTGTCCTTTTCTAGCAGTTCAGTAATATACATTCTAATTACACACGTATTTATAGTTTGATGTGAAGAATTATATGAATTAATCTTAAGTATATAATCAAAAAAGTACATTAGGGCTAGGGATTTAGCTCAGCGGCACAGCGCTTGCCTGGCAAATGCAAGGTCATGAGTTTGATTCCCAGTACCGAAAAAAAACAAAAACAAAAACAAACAAAAGAACAAAAAAACCTTAAAAAGTACATCAAATGTTGATGTAGGAATATGCAATGTAGCATCAGTGTGTAATAGCCAAACTTTAAGAATTTATAATTTCATGAAAAAAGAAAATGCAGTACATTCATAGAGACACTCACAATACTTTGGATTTTTTAAATATTGCAATATATAGACATATTTTTGATTGAAAAATATGTTCATGATAAATTGAGTGAAAATATAGGTTATGTAAAACAAACATAATATTTCAGTCACGTGAGGTTTCATATAAGAATACATATCTAATCCAGGCATGGTGGTGCATGCCTATAATCCCAGCACTCAGGAGGCTGAGGCAGGAGAATCACTGCGAGTTCAAGACCAGCCTGGGCTACAAAGTGAGCTCAAGGGAGACCTGAACTGCAAGGCAAGACCCTGTCTCAAAAAGACGAAAAAAACAAAAAAGAATACATATTAACCATGAATGTGAGAAATGGTTTTACAAATTTAATAAGAGTTTACTTCTTAGTGGAAGGATTTCAATGACTTTCTCTACGTTTTAACAGATGTGAATTTCATACAATATACAAATACATTTATCATCAGAAAAATATAAACTTTTTAACTTTTGAAGAAGGTGTAGAAGCAA